CAAACATATTAAATGGACATTCACTACAAAAAATATTATTGTTATGAATTGTTTCTAATTTATAACTGAAAAGGAGATAACAAAAACGTATATATTTCCGTAAATTGGTAATATTGAACAATTATAACAATTAAAAACCAATAAACTGGTTTATCAGTCCTCTTTCATCAAAGGACTCCCTCCAAAAATATGTGCACAGTGACTAAAATATATACAACACCAGATTAATGTTATATCTAAACAAAAAATATATAACATTAAAGGCTAATTATCAACTACTACTACTTACAGAGAGATGGTTGGTAGGACTTAAGGTATACGGATTCCAAAACCTTCAAGTGATAATTGGTATTAGTCTTAGTCAATACTGAGAATATATCTGGGCTATAAGACTGCTCATTTTTAATGAAATATTCAGCTGTTGCTGAACCTGATACATTAATGCACCTATGTAAATTGTCCACTTGTCCCTTGTGAATATTAGCTGGAACATGTTAGTTGATCCTTGCTTCCAACCTTTGACCTGTTCTTCCAGAACTATATGAGTGTGAGTTGGTAGCTCAAAGGTGTTTATTGAATTTACTTTACCTCAATTGGTTAACCAACACACAATTTACACAATTTATTATTAAAATAGGATACAAAAGTATCATGAAGGTGTTATATTCTGTGTTAATAGGAATATATACTTGAACAACATGGTGGATAAAATAAGTAAAGGTTTATTGAAAAAACCAGTACAATAAAGGTAACAGTTATGCACAAGGTCGCTGCAAGTCAATCTAGTAGTACTATTGGAAGGTCAGTAGTTCTCACGTAGGTCTGAGTCATACTTAACAGATCCCAGCTAGACGATAACTAGCAACTGCCCCACGTAGTCACATGTGGCACGAGGCCGAATTTAATGTGGGGTTCACGAGCATGTAGTCTTGGCCAAAAAAACTCGTAGACCCCACATAAATGGGATCGGGTCTGTCTACCTACCTGGATGAGACTCTGCTCTTTGGCATAGACTTGTCCGGGTTCCTCTCTGCCCAAAGGCAGAGAGTTCAACATCACAGCTGGAAAAGATCCCAGCTAGACAATATTTATTAGCCCCCCCCCACAAGGCCAAGTTTAACGTGGGTCATCCGAGCCCATAGGCTCAGCCAAAAATTCCCTGTAGAACCTGCATAAACGGGTTTGGTCTGTCTACCTCCCTGGACGAGACTCTGACCTTTGACATAGCCTCATCTGGGTTCCTCTCTGCCCGAAGGCAGAGTTCAACAGCACAGCTGGAAAAGATTTTAACTAGAGTATCTAGCAACTGCCCCACACAGTCACATGTGGCACAAGGCCAAGTTTAATATGGGATTCCTGAGCCCTTAGGCTTGGCCAAAAAATCCCCGTAGATCCTGTATATATGGGATCAAGTCTGTCTACCTCCCCGATTGAGACTGCTCTTTGGCATAACCTTGTCCAGGTTCCTCTCTGCCTGAAGGCAGAGAGTTTGACAGTACAGCCAAAAAAGATTTCAGTTAGACTCTGTAGTCCACTGACTTACAGATACTTATAGGTAGTTACTACCTATAGTGTAGTTACTCATGGAGGTAACAGGTTATTCCATTACATCAGAAGATTTAAAATTTAAGGTGCCTTTAAGCCAACACTTCTTCAGAAATATAATCTTCAGCTGAATAAAGCAAAGTAGTTGATAAGAAAAAGTTTTACCAACAACTTAAGATGTAAATTACCGAAAAAGAGGAGGGAATTGGGAAAAAAAATTTTTTTTTCCCAGTTAGGTGACTGATTCCTCAAATAAGGCCAACTTATGTTTTAACTCCCATTGTCTACACAGGGCAGGATGTTGCATATTAATAGTAACAGACTCCTGAAGTCTGGTCTGTGCACTGTGTGAGACAGAAAAATACTTAGGAGAATAGTTTGTCCTGCAAGCAACAGAATTGCTCACTGATAGCAGAGTCATGAGTCTGAAGATACCCGGATGTCACAGGCTCATGTCTATGCACCAAGCCTGGGGCATGCTGAGCAATCATAACCTTTAACCTCTGGATGGTCTTGCCCACATAGCCGATCTCACATTGAGATTTATATTGGTATATAACTAAACTTTGTTGATTGGCAGGCAAGACATTCTTATGGTATGAGGGGAAAGCCCTTCTCAATGAAAAAATGTTCCAGACCATTACACCATTAAAACACCATTTGATGGAAATGGAAATTTTGTAAGTGTTTGTTTGACACATGAGACCAATCCACAGTAGTCTTACATATATAGGACATTTAGAGGGACCCCATTTCTTAACTTCATTGAACTTAGCAATTTTTTGCTCAATGGTAGATGTAACAACAAATTCAGCGTAACCATTCATTAAAAACAGCTGTTTAATTTTTTTTAACTCAGTGTCAAGTCTACACTCAGAACACAATATCAAAGCACAATGAGTAAGGGTACTGATAAAATTCATTTTCCTGGTTCTGGGAGCAAATGAGTCCCAAGTTAGGTAAAGCCCAGAAAAAGTGGATTTATGATAGACCTTGTTAAGAAAGTCTAAAGGTGTTCTTTCTACCAATACACCCAGGAAAAAAAAACTTTTTACGATATTAAAAGAAAGATAACTTGTTTTTGCTTTATTTTCTGTTTTATTTAAAAAGAAAAACCAAAAAAAAACACTGTACTTTTAATTCATAATTTATCAGTTTTTTTTAATTCTAACACGTGAGGAGTCATAAATTAAATGCCCCGTTAACAGAAGCACAGTTTGTTTTTCTTTTAACAATGCAAAAAAAAAAAAAAAGACAGTGTTTTTTAAAATTATTTTGTTTTATGCAGTTGAAGTTATTAATTAGCAAATTAGTAGACTAAGAATTAAAAGTTCGATAAAATTAATTTCACTTTTAAAAACTGAAATAAATGTTATCATACTTTTAATTATTAGTCTATTTTGCTGAATAAAACTTCAACTATTTAAACAAAAAAATAAAACATTGTATTGTTTCACTACTGTCAAAACTTGTAAATTGAAAAATAGGCCCATTTTTAGACTTTAAATAAAGTTTCTGCACTTAAAAAATATATTAATTTTCAATTTTCTTTCAAATTTCTGTTTGATATTTCCAAAAAAATTGGAATGCATGTGATATCCTTTAAGCATTGGAATTATTTCAATTTATTTATCTATTTTATAATTTATGAAAAGTAACAATTTTATATCTGTATTAAAGCTAGGCCTATAAGTTAAAAAAAACAAAAAACAATTGATTCACTTATTTAATTTTTTTCACTAACAGACATGAAAAATCAAAATCAAAGAACTGATGCCAGAGTCTGGATTTCTCATATAGATGTGAAAAAATTGTGGATTCACTAAATTCACTTAATCCAATCCCACATCAAGCCCTTTAAAAATATTCAAATTTTTTTCACACTTTGTGCTCCTTGTAAGTGGGGTTTATCCCCCACCAGCTGACAGCATGTTTTGGAGACAATTTTTTTTATTGCTGGCTGGCTGACTTTGACAAATTGGCTTCATTTGAACCCTGTCTTTTTCCTTATCATTCCTTTTTTTAAAGCCCAATTCTCAAAATTAGAATTTTAATGACCAAACATCAGGATACCAATTTACTTTTCAGTAGCCTCCACAAAAATATGACACAAAAATGGAAACATTTGATGAACCAAGATTTTAGTTGTTAAGCAAGATCTTTTGTGTGCATTTAAAATTCTTTGTTTGTTGCTGCATTGTTTTGGAATTTGGTAAAAAACTTTGTCATTTATTAGATACTAAACTGCTGATCTTTTTTTGTAAAATGTAAGAAAAATGACAGGAAAAGTGTTCATAATTTTTCCTTATTTCTTTTCTGTCTTAAATGATATCACCACAACACACACACAGACTTTTTTCTCTTTCTTTTCTTGGACAAATTTTAATCATTTCTCATTAATTAATCAGATTTAGTTTTTCAAGGACGATAACTCAAAATTTATTTTTTTTACCCTAAAATATGACGTAAATCAAATTATTATAATTTAATTATTATTCTCTCATTGTTTTTATTTATTCTGTAGAAAAAAATAAATGTATGGAATCATTTTACCCCGCAACAAGAGTCATTAAGATAGAAATAATTTCCTCTTAAGAAATTAGAAAACTCATTAAATTTATTTATTTCGATATCTTTTTTTCGCTATCGTCTAAAACCGCTTTATAGAGAGAGTAGGGGGCGGAGAAGCAAATTTTGTTTTAAATAAATTTACATTTAATGAAATTTAATTATTTTTGTTCAAAGCTAATTTTAATATATAATCAAAACAAGAACATTTTCTCATAGAGAAAAATACTAAAGAAGAGATTAAAAAAATACATTTTTTTTTTCTTTGGTTTAATTTTTTTCAATTAATTTTAATGGCGTCATGTGTCTTGGTATTTTTTTTTTTTAATTTCAACTCTTGTACTATTTGGTTAATTTCATTATAATTTTAAATTTAATGGAAATCTCGAAGGATTTATTTATGATATGAATGATAAAATAATAAAAAAAATTCGCCATTGATTTGCTGTTGCCAGGGATTTAAGGGATGAATTCCCTGACCTGGATACAAGCATAGAGTTGTATAACCGGTGTAATGTTAGCTCTTTAAAAATGTCCAGTCTTTAAACAGCACTTCCTCAGAGTAAAACTAAATTTAATTTTTAGCATTGTTTAATGTTACAATGTTTTAGATAATAATAAAGAAACTGCAAATGCAGACTTAAAATTATTTACATTTTATTGTGGAAGGAAGGATAATTATTTTGGCTACTGTCGTTTTAGAAGTTTTGGGTTCTTTCCCTTTGTGTTGTTTACGTTGTGTAAACTCTGTCTAATTGAAATCTGTTTCGGGGTTTGATTTCTCGAAAAGTGACATGTGGATCCAAGGGTGACTTTCCGTGAAAAAACAACACAAAAAGCCTATCTTAGTACAGATTACACCTGACTTAACTTCTCGACAACTCAAGCAAGGATAAGCCAATACACTTAACGGTATAGTATTATTCTATTATAATGAGAATTGCACCCGCTATAAAAAAAAATGTAAATTAAAAAAAAAAGAAAACTAAGTTAAAAAAATTTACAAAACGAACAAAATGTTTTCTTCTTCAACACTATATTACTGACCAACTCCATTTATTTTTCTACATTATTTCATGCCTGTCATTGTCTTATTTATAAACATTGCTGGATTTTTTTTTTTAAGTGTCATATTGAAAATTACAGCTGAAACTTTTGATGATAATCTTGAATCAGTTGTAAAAGTAAATAAACAAAATTTTATAAGTAAAGTAGAAGCCATAAAAAAAAACACACTTAAACTGTAAGTGTAAATTTCTTAAAAAAATTGAATGGCTCTAAAAAAACAATCTCATTTTTTTTCTGAAATCTGTAAACTAAAGTATTTAATAAAAAAACAGGATAACCACAAGATTTGATTTTTAAAGTAAAAATATTTTTGTGAACTGGTTAATAAAAATGTACATAAATATTCCTATTTAAAAATATAAATAAAATCAAGTTCACTTGACAATTAATAGCTAAAAGATGATAAAGATGAAATTACTTTTTTTTAAAATAAATTTACCGCACCACTCCAATATAATTTAACGAATTTTAAACATTTTTTCATCGTTAGAAAAAAAGAATGTTCATTATTATTATTAACACTTCTTGAGCCTAAAAAACTTAATAACTCACAAGTTTTCAAATTTAAATTTCTTCTTAAACCGCTTTTTTCTTTCAATACTTTTTAAAAACTAAAAATTCTAAAACAATTTTCATTTTTCACTAAAACATTCGTAGAGTTAAACCTCAGAGGTTGAATCCAAGCATATGTGGGTTGTCATTCAGTTTTTTAGCTGAAGTCACAAGTATGGAGTACTCAGTGAGGATCGAACTCAATAATGGCCAACCATACTAGCATATTATTATCCCTTCAAATTCCGGTCTTGTCTGGTTGTGTTCATTTTTACGCAAAAGTCCTTCGATGCACAAATGCATGACTCCGTGTTTTCGCCTCACAGATTTTGTTTTCAGTTAAAAAAAATTAAGATGAATTGTTTTCTCTGGCAAGTGATAGAAATGTCTTTTTTTTTCAGTCAAAGTTCAGGAATGAAATTTGTTATTTAAACAACTACTTTTAAAGTTTCAGAATATATTAAATACACTATTTTAGAAATTATTATGTGTAAATTAATGTTTTCACAGTAAAATTGCCATTAACCAACTGATGTTGCTAAAACTTTCAGTGTATAATCACTTTAAAGTTTATTTTTAGTGGATACCTGTATTTGAGTAAATTCTCCATTTATTTATTAAACTAAACAGTATATTTATTTTCATCTACGGGTCTGAATGTTCAAGAATTCTTATTAAAGAAAAATTTTTACACTCTCTGGCAGGATTTCAACCTGTGTCACTCTGGCAGAGGGAACTCCCATTAGGTCTGGTATGCTTTGACCAACTGAACTACAAATAACCAGCCTGTCAGGCAAGGCCAAAATTGTACCTTTATTTTTAGTAGGTACATGCTTTGTTTATTAAACAGTTTTATTTATTTTTTCGTCCCAGCCTGAATGTTTGAAAAATCTTAAAGAAAGATTTGAACCTGTGCTCCTCTGGGCAGAAGGAGCTACTGTTAGATCCAGTACACTTTGACCAACTGACCTACAAAGAATCAGCTGGTCAGTTAAGGCCAAAATTGTACATTTAAACAAAACTTCTCTCATCGTGTATGTGTGTATATATATGAATTGAAGATCAAATGTGAATCAGATATGGATCCAACAAAAAGTAAGAACACAAATCTCAATCTAACATGTTTCACTTTTATTAAGGCTTTGTCAAAGATTGAGATAGAAATGGAAACAGTAAAGAAACACAGCATTGGTGTGCTATTATCTTGGTTAACTCCTGTTGGTTAGATATGTGTAATGTGCATTAATGCAATAAATAAAATATAAATATGTGTGAGGAACATTTTGGACATTAAAGTGTGTAGTGGTGTATGAATGTGTATATAAGGAAATGCTTGTATGTCTATTAGCAGGAAGAAAAATAAACCAAACTAAACACCATCTCAAATGCTGAAATTTATCAGATAAAGTTTCTACAGTGCAAAAACATTATGTGGAGGGAACACAAGAGAGACTTGCATTTAGACAGGCATCAAAATGATGTGGGACATAACTTTGATTTTACTAATGCCAGTCCAATTAAAAAAAAAAAACATGACCCTTTAAGGAGAAAATATTATGAAAACATTTATAGGATTAATACCAACTAGAAATGCTTGCTTAAAACATATCACATCACCATCTTTCTACAGATCCATTATTCATCAATCTAACTTATGTCTATTTAATACATAAAATAATGAAAACATACAAATCCTTTTAAAAAAATATGCATGAGAAATGCTTTAATGATAAATCCAACCAAAACATGATTATTCACAATATCTTGCTACATCTCACCACCTACACAAAGGTGATGACAACAAACATTCCCCCCACACACATATGACAAAAATCCAACCAAATACAAATGTTTGCAACATTCTGATACATTTTCCCTGATATTTGAGGGTGACAACTATAGCCATTTCTCACACATACACATATATACTTATATGAATTAACATTGCCATCCAACATACACCTAGACATACAAGCATTTCTTTATATACATATTCATACACCACTACACACTTTAATGTCCAAAATGTTCTTCACATATATTTGTATTTTATTTGTTACATTAATGCACATGACCAATAGGAACTAACCAAGATCATAGTATACCAATGCTCTGTGTCTCTTTACTGTTTCCATTTATATCTCGATCTCTGAAGCTTTAATAAAAGTGAAACATTGAGATTCATTTGTTAACTTGTTGTTTATTTTATCATATGCATACATATATAAACATAAAAAAATTCAGCTTTTGACATTTGTTCTCATTAAAACATTGATATTTATTTGATTTGATAGAGCAGGTTTTATTATGTAAAATGCAACATAGATTTTAATTTATAAATCCAAATATTTTAGGTCATAGAAATATATGTTTGATTAATGCAGTTTGTCATATACATAAATAAGTTATTTATTATTTTACAAACTAATATGGATTCCTTGATATTCTATAACATTGATCAGTCTTTCAATCATTGATTTTGTTAACATTTCTACTTTTTCGAATTTATTCCTTCCCAGAGATCTTCTTTGATTGAATATTGTTTTCCATTTGAATACATCTCTTTTAATGATGGGTCATGTTTTCTATTGCTTTAATATTTGGAGAGGTTAGGAGCTATTCCATTCATTTTGTGTCTGTAAAATCTTTTTGGCAAGGTAGGTAGGGAGCTTTGCAGAATGTGTAGGATCATGATCTTGCACAGATATACTCTAACTTAAAAAAACATTTTGGTTGTGATCTTGACCAATCAAAAAACATCTTGTCTAAGAAATTACAGAAATTCTCTGCATTTATCTTAATACTAACATCAATTTTGAAGGGATCTATAATATTAGCTGAAAACATTATTTCATCTATCTGTAATCTGTAATTGTCATCTAAGTTGTATTGATTGACTGTTTCCATGAAGATCCCAACCTCAAGCCCAGTCATCAGCTCCATCAAATGTCACTCTACATTCATCAGTAAAATTACTGTTGAGAAATCAGTTTTAATATACTTCTTTGCTCAATTTACACATTTTTCTTAGTAACATTTACTTGAAGGTGTTTGCTTTCATGTTTTTTGCCAATGTTTTAGCAAAAGATTTAAATATTTTTTTGCTGACCATTTTTCTACCTTATTATCTTTCAGTTTTTCTCAAATGTCTTTGACTTTCTTTTTTCTTCTGTTTGCTAATATTTCCATTTTTGTTCTGTGGTCTCTGTTCAATTTCACAAATTCCAATGATTGCTACCATCACTCAATAACTTTGCAATATCTTGTTTCTTTTTTGAGGTTGTATCACCATGCTTAATAAAGCCTAACATTGTGTATATACACTCTAAGAATATTGGGTCAATAACAAGAAAAAGTGGTTTTGAGATGTATTGGATTTACTTTTAGAATTGTTTAGGTTTCAAAATATAAGGCATAATCATTTAGCACGTTTTCTCTTTACAGTTCTTTGGCTGTGTATTTAGAGACTAATCAAAAATGGTTTCATATATTTATGTTTGTATTACTGAGATTTATTATTTGCAGTCTCTCCAGGATAAATTAAATCTGAGCTCAAAAGTTAAACTTCTATTTAAGATTTTCCAAATAATAAAAGACTAAAAAGAGTTGGTTGACTACTACTTTTAGCTATTGATTTTCTAATCTTTGAAAGCTTCTATGCCAAACCAAAGAAATTTTTTATCTAAAGTAAAAGTTATTGGGAACTGAGTTTTTTCTCATATGTAAATGATATATTTTGTGTATCCCCTTGTGTAATGCTTTAACAGGACATTTTTCATGATTGACATCAGAATCTCCTGTAGCTCTTCTGGGTGGTCTCCTTGTTTAAGTTGGTGAATGCTGCCATAATCCTTGCCATCAGCTCATCTTTGATGTTACAGGGAGTTTTGTTGGTCTCTTTCTCAAATGTGCCCCACACATAATAATAATAAAGGGGGTTGCAGTCTGGGGAGTGAGGTGGCCAGATGTAATGGGTGATGTAGTTGCAGAAATTGTCTGACAGCCATAACTGCTTGTGTGGCATGGTGCAGAGTCCTTTTGCCAGACATAGGTTCTTCTAGTAGCCACTCTCTTGACTCAGGGTAACACTACCTCCTCAAGGCACTTGATGTAGAGCACTATGTTGAGTCAGAGGTCCTCACCAACAAATTCGGGAGTTCTGTTCTATCAGAATGAATGAGTTTTTCAAGCTGATTTTAATCACCAAGACTCATCCAGCTCTTTTGAATTTATGCTAATTTGAATCCTCTATAAGAATCCTCTATGCTATCTGAATCATTTGAATCCTCTAT